AGTATAAGGTATATTTTATATGATTTTTTATATTTTATTTATAATAGTGAAAAAAATGACAATTTAAACAAAATTTTGCTATTTTTAAAGAAAACTCAAATAAATTATTAACATTAAAATTTTTTTTTCATTGCAGAGGACATATTATTGGAAAGAGGATGATGCTCGTGTGTATAAAGTCTGGAGATTACATTGTTGAAACCGTTTTCAAGACGAGCTTCATTGAGCTCGAAAGGCGTGGGTTAGGGACAAGAAGTTGCCCGAGTTCATGCATAATGATAAGAACAATAACATAACATGTTGCTCTTCAACAAGAAAAAGCATATAATCAATTAGAACAATAGCTGTTGGCCACAAAATTAGGACACATAGCATTTTCTTAAACTTTTGAACCATAGAGAAGGTCCACAAAATCCACAGAAAATCCAATGAAATTTTTAATTCATTTCAGATAAACATTCTACTAGCTCCCAAAAGCAGGGTTGGGATTGGGATAACAACGTTATACAGAAGAGAAAAATATTTCAAACAATCCATACTACAGTGATAATTATAGGATTTGATAAAGAATAAAGTCCGAAACTTGATTAAAGCATGAAGGGCATACTCAACTATTTTGCCCTTTTCTTAATTTAAAATTACTGTGTTACACTTTCATAAAGGTTTTGATGAACAGCAGGATTATATCTAACTCATTATGAAAATACTCTCTAAATTAAACTTAAAGGATTTTGTGAATTGCAGGATTATATCTATAACTCATTATGAAAATGCTCTCCAACAATTACTGAAAAAATAATAGACATCACTAGGAAAGTACCGTTAAGACCCTAAAACAGTGGTGCTATTGCAGTAATCTTGCACCGAAACAAAATCTAAATTCACCTGAGCAACTTAGGGCACAGAAATTATGCAAATGTGCAAAGGCATTAAGAGAGAGCAATGTGAATACCTCTGCTCAGATGACTCATACCCAGATGAGTCCGTGAAATCCACAGGAACCACCGTGTGGTCCGAACTATACAAATGCTTGCTTGTAACATCAAGTGTCTGATGGGTCATGCACTTGGCCCGCAGATGGAACTCAACAGAGCAGGACTCGCACTGGCCGTCACCAGCGCATGCATCGCAATCAAGCCAGGATCGCATGGACATGGCGCGTTCACTTCTGAGTGGGATAAGGCCGAGGCGGTGAGCAATGAAGTCGTCGTTGAGAACGGAGGAGTTGACCTCGATTTCCACCAAATGGATGGCGATAGTCGGGACCTCCGCCATCATGACGCGGCGCAAGGCATTGGCCAGAGAGGCGTCGGTGTCCCGCAGCTCGAACTTGAGGTAGTCATCTTTCATCTCCCGGATTTTGATCTTCGGGAATCGCTGGTACGATGCTTCCTCCATTTTCAAGGGTTTTTGCTTGGGGGGAACTGAGGAAGGAGACGGGGACGAGCGCGGTTTATAGAACCCAGCCGTTGGGTTTTAGTTCACTGTGTCTTCAAGCGTGAAACGGTGCCGTGTAATTGCCATTTTTCCCTTTTATGGGTTAGCCCCTATTCTATTCCTATAGGTTCCAATGGGGAAAGAGCTAATTCTTCTTTCTCAAGTCAGACTCCGAACTTATTAACTCCGTTAGACTGATGATCTCGTTATTATTTTGTTAAGAATATTTTCTTGATAAGCTGAAGGTTCAGTATTGCAAAAGTTTAACCATCGATTTTACCTCAAAATGAAGATAGTCTCTTATTTTGGTTTTCCAGGTAAGAAGGAAAAAGTTAAGTTGGAAACGTGACTTGACAGTATTTTTAAGAGGACGTAGGTTGAAGTTCGAAAACAGAAAAAGAGAGTTCATGCAAGTGCAATAGATTTTGATCAAATTAAGAATTAAGATGCAGTTCCATGGAACAAGTTGAAGTTCCCATCATGGAAACACAAAATCCTTGGAATTGTAACCAAAAACAGAGAATTTGCCGAGGTTGCAAAAATATTAATTATACATATATAAGACATGGATATACATTTCCATTCGTAATCTAATAGCAGCTTCAAGTTATCTTAATTAAGGTATAATCAAGTTTAAATATTCTCCTTCGCAATATAAAACCAAACCAGAAAAATAAAAGGTCTAAGTTGCTTGCAGAAATTAAACAAGAAGAAGACAGTCATACAAATGTAGTTTCGAATTAAGAAAACTAGTTTTAGGAGTTGAAATAACATTTTAAAGTCAGAAGAGCAAATGCGCATTGGCACGGTTGAAATCCAGCTTATGAGTGCACCATACAAACCTACAAGGAAGAAAGCATCATCAACAAATATATAACAGATCGTATAAGAGTTGTTTCTGTTTGAAGGGAAAGCTAATATATCAGAGAAGTAATGTTGATGGCATCAGAGAACCTACTCACCTTCTCAAACATCAACTTAATCATACAGCTTGTGTAAAGCGTGAGACCAGTCTTCATCAGTGTCATCACCATTCTGCAATCATGATGAGCACATTTTGAAGGCTAGCTAAAGCAATATAGCAACAAATAATCTCTCAAGTTTACCACAACCTTTCCCCATATTTAATTTCAACATGTCTTTAATGGGAATGGGATAATTAGGGAGAAGAAAAAAAAGCATAAAACAAATAAAAAATAAGGAAATCTTTTGAATCAATAGATACCATTTTTTACGAGTACTATTCTGGGCTTAAAACCATCTCCCCAACATCCTTCATCTTCATCTTCTGTCAGTTTCACTTTCTGCAGTTTTGGTGTACTTACTTCTCCCTCAGAGAAAGTCTGCATTTTTGGACACGCCATCACAAGTACATCTTTCAAAGAAGGGAATTCAAAGTTGCAACTCCCTGAGCAGATGCTTTCCAGTCTTTGAAGATCTTTAAGTTTCAAAGTCTCGAGTTTGGAGTAAAGAATGCCTTCCTTCACATCATCACTGTACCATATCACCTTCATGCTGTCGTTCCTCTGCACTGTTAGTTCCACTAGACTTGGGAATGTAGCCTGGAAATTGACATGATTTGAAACATTACAAACCAAGGAGGATGAAATGGATAGATGATGTAAATCCTCTGCTCATTATGCCAAATTAGATTCAAAATTCTAACTATTGTTATGAACATTAATACACATTAATAAAACATATTCAATTTAACCTATTTAAATATCTACAAAAAGGGAAATTAATATGTAAATAATTGACAAGTTATGCAAATATTAAAAATTGAAAATTAGAAAAATGACATAAACAGCTTACGTTAGGCCCTGCACATGTTTTGATGTTCATTTTTTAGAGCTCATACCTTATTGACCCAAAACAGAGTGTGTTCATTTTGACTTTTAAGTTGGGTCGCTTCACTTGTTCTTTGATAGCTCAAAAGTTCTGAAGCAAGTATCTGCACCTGATTACATCTAAATACCACCAATGTTTCCAATGATGGCCATTTTGTAGTGTGCATTTGAGGGTAGAGACTCTTGAGATTGGGTAACCCTACAAGGATCAAGCGTCTTACTTTTGGAAGCACAAAGTTTATTGCTGTTTCCACCATAGTTGATTGAGAAGATTTCAAAGCTTGTGATTCACTAGCACTTGGCCCTTGATGTTGAAATATTTTTTCTAGTGAAACACAGTTTCTTATTTCTAGAACGTCAAGGTTTTTAAACCTTCCAAGCATAGTAATTGGAAAAATATTCAACAATTTTTCACAAGATGCCACCCAGAGCATTTGTAGTCTGTAGAAGGAATCAGCATCAAGTTTATCATCCCAAATCATGTTCAAGCTCCCCATACCATGGATCACAAGGAACATTAAACCGGGAACTGAAACCTAAGAGAAAAAATTGCAATATTAATATGATATTAATAAAGAAGTATTCTAAGACATGAAATGTTAAAAATAAAGGGAAAACAAGCAAAAGAATCACCTTTGCATCAGAGAGAGGTGTTACATAGATGGGACTCAAATCTGTTTGGGCTATATCATGGTCAATTAATCTATTGCTTCAACTCTAGCATTTTTATATTTTTTTGATCGGCAAATAAAAAGTATATTTAAGAAAACGTGAGAGGTATTAGCATTTTTATATCTAAAAGGAGATGTTCCAGCAGTCTTAATTTGACCCTTGAACCATAAAATTAGCAGTGAAAAGGGGGTTCAAGTACGAATTTGCATCTATTCTCTCTTTTTCGGGATAGGTTATCTGCATTCATTTAGTATTAGCCATGTCATAAATGGAATCATCAATAGAAAAGCAAAAATATGGTATAAGGATCTAAACTTGCACAAAATTTCACTCAATTAAAGTCTTAAATTATATAAAATTCTCAATAAAGTCCCAATTAGATAGAAAGTTAACTTGCCGTTGAATGTTAACTCACTGAGAGAGTAATGGACATTAATGAAATTGTAAGACATTTTTTACAGCAAGTTAATTTTCCATCCAATTGAGACCTTATTTGAGAATTTTGTGTAGTTTGAGACCTTAATTGACCACAATTCAAGTTTGGGTCTAGAATTGTGAATTTTGTGGAAGTTTGGGTCCTCATCCCATACTTTTGCCTAATAGAAAAGTGTTTAGCTCAATGTTTTCAAAACCGGATCGGTCATTGAACCATTTTCAGGTCCGGTTCCTGGTTTGACCGGTTCAATCGATTGAACCAGTAAACCGGCCGGTCCAAACAATAAAGAAGGTTTGATGAGAGGAGCAAGCTATAGGTATTGATTTTTTTATTTGGTGTTGATAATTTTGTAATTTTGTTAAAGTTAAAGGTTAAAATGGGTATAAGAAAGGAATGGGAAGGATGAAATTGGAAAAAATTGAAAGAAGATTGCATGAGAAATTGAACCGGTAGTTTTTCTGGTTTCACCGGTTTTATCGGTTTTTACCGGTTTTATCGGTTTTTGACCGGTTTTTACCGGTTTTACCGGTTTTGGACAGGTTTTGACCGGTTTTGACCTAAAACGGTTTTCTTATATGAATCGAACCGTTTTCATGACCGGGTACCGGTCCGACCGATTCAACCGGCCGGTCCGGTCCGGTTTTAAAAACCTTGGTTTAGCTATATATATTTATGTAGATAGTCAAACCGCAAGTACCCTGCACAAGAATAAAAAGTGAAGAAAAATGTGTAAAAGAAGAATCCTACATGAAGAAACGGACCTGGTCACTGAAAAAGGGTTCAGTAGGATCAATGTCTTCCTTTCTAATCCTCTCTGCACTTTCTCCTTCTGCTGCTTCTTTCACTTGCACTGTTGAAAATGTCGAAGCAAATGTAACCATCTCTGGACAGTCAATTACTTCCATCACTGCCAATAATGGAAACACAAGTTTATAATTTCCCACACAGAAACTTGTCAAGTTGGAACAAGACTCCAGATTAATGGCTTTTAGCTGTGGGAATATCATCTCTTTTTCATCTGCCTCCATAGTTCCCTCTCCTGTGATGATGTGCTCCATCATTTCAGAGTTTTGTACTTTCAACCTTTCAAGCGTAACAAGACTCAACGCCATGGAAGGAGTTAAGAGATATGTCAAGTTACTACAGTTACAAATTTCAAGTTCACGAAGCTGTTTGAAATCCAAGATTTCTTGAGGATTCTTGTACCATATTTCCATCAACTGAGGAAAGTCTGAGAGGTTCAATTCTTGTAACCCAGCATATCCAGCCTGCCAATTACATATTGATAGCTATAACATAAGAATCCAAATAAATTACTAGAGAAAAATGAAAGGAGAAAAAAAAATTGGAAGCAATAGCTTTCACCTTGCATTTGATGAAAGGATTAATAAAGAGCCTGCAAGAAAATTGCAATTAGAGATAGTGAAAGGCTCAATTCATACCATTTCTTTGTACAGTTGATTTATGGTGTTATTCAGCTCAACCGCGGGATGCCACAAATTGTCTTCTTCGGTTAACTGTCTTTTCTGTAGGCTTGGAGTCCTCACAACTCCATGACAGAAGGTCTCAAAGTTGGGACATTGAACCACCATTACTTCTTCCAACAATGGGAACTCGAATGTGAAATTTGCAGAACAGAAGCTTGCGAGTCTTGTTAAGCATTTGAGTTTCAAAACTTTTAATTTGCTGAAAACAATCGCATGTCCTAATCCATCTCCTTCATCTCCAACAATTTCACTCAGCAATTTGCATTGTTCTATCCTCATTGTTTGGAGATGCACCAGACTTTGGACTGTTGTGGATGAAAACAAGCTTCTTAAAATTTGACAGCTTGTTACAAACAAAGTGGTGAGGTTTCGGAAAGATGCTGTGGATTCTGATAAGCTAATCAAACAATCGCACCTCTGCACTTTAAGAGATTTAAGATTTTCAACAAGTAGGTCTGATGGTGAGCCTTGGTTCCAAATATACTTCAGATTACAGAGCGCATCCAGCGTCAACTTTCTAATACGTAATTGCCATCCCACATCTTTCTCCGGACAATCAATGGATGCCACAGAAGGGAACAACTCCTTGAAAGAAGAACAACCAATAAAAAGCTTTTCTAAATTGAAGAATCTTTCAATAAAACGGAATGGAAAATCCTCTGATTCATTGTGGTAGCAGAGAAGACGAAGAACTTTAACATTGGAAAAGAGGTCTTCTGGAAATTGGCGATTACATATCATTGCAATGTCATCACTTGTTAGTGACAGTGTCTTCAATCTAGGAACGACCTGGATGCCAATGCAACAAAACATAAACGTTATACTACTTTACTTTTCCAGTGTTGATATTGAAAGATATTAGATATGCATTTCCAAAGGATTAACACTAAAAAATAGATAGAATTAATTATTATATTGATGATGAATGAAAGAGAGCTATAGTGATTGATCCATGTGCTTCGACCTGATGGCTAAGATCATGGATTAGTGGGGATCACCTTTTGTGAATTGTCTATTTGAGCTCCACGATCCCATTTCTCTTGTCCTCAATATACTTAATATAATATGCACTAATTGCTTTCGTTCAAATAAAAAGAAAAAAAGAAAAAAAGAAAGAAAGAAAGAAAGAGAGCTATAGTGATTGAAAAGGAGAGAAGGCCTAAGATCTCCTATCTTAGGTCTATACATGAGTATTTATAGTCTGCTACAATAGAGTTCAAGTAGTCTTCTATCCTTTGGCGGGATCCTAACAACTTCTAATTAACTATATGTGCAGAGGTTTTTGTTGGAAATGGTGCCCTGAATTGTTATGGAAAATCCTTATGGAGTGTTGGATTTAGAAACATAGTGAGATTTAATCTCCTAATTAATTTAATTCCAACTTGATTTGGAAGAAACCTTAGGACCCACACGACTATATCGTAGCTCTAATTCGGACTTAAATTTGCACCCTAGTAGGAATCTAAGAATCTTAGTTAGATTTAGTATAAATGTGTTATAAGTAAAATTAAATGTGTTTTTATTACCCATGCTCTATTGGGTTGATTAAAGGCTATTGGGTGATTAAAGGCTTTTGAGTCATGATTGGTGAGCAAAGAGATAGAGAGAGATGTAAGGAGTATCTTAGAGAGAGTTTTTAAAGAGATAAAGGTTTATTTAGAGGAGATTGATAGGGGGTTTCTAAAATTGTAACTCTTTTATCTTGCTTAGTGAATTTCTTATCTTGCTTTGTGCTTTTTCTTAAAGGTTTTTCCCGTTAAATTGATGTTTTTTTTTTATTATTTTGCTTTATTATTATTCATTTGCTTTGACTTCATTTAATATGGCTGGGATTTTTTATTTTGGTTTCAAAATTCAAATAGTTAAAATTATCAATTAAAAATTAAAATTAAAAATTAAATGTGTAACTTATTAAGTATACATTTTTAAAAGTAATACCTAAAACTTCTAACTTAATTAATTTATACAACATCTTAATTTTATTCTAAAGTTTTTAAATTTTTAAAAATCAAAACCAAAAACTCAAAACCACAATCATGTTAATTGAAATCAGTCAAATCTCCCAACAATTAGTATCATGGTATGAATAGAGAATTTTATTCTAACAACGGTATCCAAGATTAGAGGCAAAACTTTATTCTATGATGTAGCTCTGTTGATTAGTAGAGGTCTCCAAGCAGAACTCTAATTCATCTTTTCCTTGAGATTTACCTTTTTAGTGTTGGTAGAACTCTTGTAGGATGATTCCATGTATCCTAATCCACATGACTCAATTTTGGATATAATCCAAACAATAAATTATGGTAATAAGTTTTAGAATTATTATGATAAATAGATTTAAGGCTTTAAGGCAATAGGTTAATGCATGTGTAAAAGCTACCTATATACTCAATTACATAATAATAAAGTATTATGATTGTGTTTGGGATTATTGTGTGAAGTATTATAGTTGTGGTTGTGATTTTTTTTAATATTTTATTATAAAAAAATTATTTATTATTTGATAATTGCTTTGAAAATAGTCTTATACATTAGAGGAGAGATTCATTTATATACAAATCTTACATATTATATTTATACAAAATCTCAATGATTAAATTTTAACTATTTATTTTTTCACTTTTAATGGTTGAGATTTATTCACATTTATTAAAAATAATTATTTTTTCACCAAAAAAATTGTGATAAATCTCAATAATTAAAAGTGGAGAAATGAATGGTTGAGATTTTGTATGTGCCATATGCAAAATTGGTGTACATGTGGATCCCTTCTCTATACATAAATATGGTTATTAAATTATACAAAACATTAATTAAAATTAATTTAATAAAAAAATTAATACTTTTATGAGATGCTGTGTGAAAAAAGCTGTGGAAAAATAATATCTATCAGTTTTCTCTACTCATCACTACATAGCTCTATAGCTCCAAACAAGTCTAGGGCCTATTTGGTATAGCTATTTGAAGGTAGCAATTAGTGGTTTTGGCCAATCCAATATAGGATAAGTACTTCGTAGATTTGTTTGTTTCGAAACTACTATAAATTAGGTGTTTTGTAAAATGTTATTTAGTGATTTGAAAATAGTGGATAGTAGTTAAAGTCCAAATTACTAGTGGATTGAAAAAACTACTTTAGGTAGGTTTTTATATCAAATTACTAGATTAAAATTTTTTAATTTTATTAACAAATTTATCTTTTTTAATTTTTTGCCATAGTTTCTTTAATAACATTAAGTGATTATTATATTTTTATTTTTTACATTAACTTATTATAAAAATAATTGTATATTAGCTTAATACAAAATTTGATAATTTGATGAAATGATTAAAAATTTATTTTTTTCTTTATTAAAAATGGAATGAGTATTGATTCACACTTTTATATTATATTATATTTATTTATTTTCTTATTATTATTTTAATAAAATTAATAAT